TCCTGCTCCTCAGGCTTCACTCCTGCTCCTCAGGCTTCACTCAGGCCGGTGGTGACACATGCAGCGGGCCTTGTTTTAACAGCTGGCACTGCGTACGTTAAAAGGGCATTTGGCTTCCACGGTGGGTGAGTACAAAAAAACTCTCTCCTTGGAAAAGTCTAAAACTGTGTTTGTGTGAGGGCAGAGCTGTGCAGCAGTGGGCGCTCAGAGGTGGTCGTGTGGGAGCTGCGGCCGCACAAGCCATATCTGTGTGTGTGTGTGTTTACACTACCTGCTGTACTGTATGTGTACATGTGTGGACGCCATGGGACGATCCCACGTACCTGCCACTGTGTACGCCTGCAAGAGTATTACCAAAAGGACAAGGGACAAATACTACAGTAAATGTTAAAATATTTGCAATCAACAAAGGCTGCCACAGGAGGCGCCATTAGTGGATATATGGATCCTCTGGGAATTAAACCCAGAACTCTCTGCTTTCAGGGCAGGCCTGCTAACTGCTAACTACACCATGGAAGCACCAACAGTCCTTAGAAAATACTTCAAATAAATGAAGTCACTTTTCAGTTTTGTCAGATCTTTTTCCTCTGTCCAACAAAGCAGCTGACGGCTCCGTCGTACTCATGTTTACATCCAGATGAAAATGTAATCTTTTGGATCTTTGAACTAAATGTTTTGCGACGTTGCGTTCCTTGGTGTCGACGTCGACCTTCTCTCTCCTGTTGTTTCCTCTGCTCTACAGTCAGTGAAGCTCTTTGGTCCAAACATGTGATATATAAATGAATCTGACTGGACTCCATTCTTCCACACTTCCTGCTGTGAACTGTCTTGAGATCCGTGCAGGCTGTGGGCGGTCTGCTCCCCCCTGCTGGACTCAAAGTGAATAGAACAAATTTCTCAGTTAAGTCTGACTTTTAATACTGAGCGCTGTGTGCTGCCAGGGGCGTAAATCAACAGCATGAAAATACCACCAACAACAACAGAAATGCTAACAATGCTGGGCTTTTGACAGACGAAATAAAATAAATAAAGGTTTGGACGTGCAACGATCTGTGATCTTTATAGTCCAGAGATGAACAAGAAGACTTCAAGCCTTTTATATATCCTTGGACACTGCATCGTTCATCATCGCTGAGGCCAGTTATCAAAAACATGGATTTACCAAATAATAAAAGCTGAATGACACTTTGAACAAACATGAAATGGAGAATTTATGGCAGTGGCATCAGAACCAACTGTTGAACAGATGAACATTTGAAGATTTCTTTTCTGACAGCTGCTGATGTTTTCAACCACCCATAAATCCACTGCATTGTATTTCTGCAGCACCAACCCGGCACCACGCCCCAGATGTTTGATCAACTGTAGATAATACACAACATCCTTCCAGAAACCTGAACCTTAACTCTAATCTTACTCCAAATCATTTGGTGACCTGCACTTGGACAACGTCCCCACAATAATTATTTTACCCCTGAAAAAATTCCACACAAATATGTTTCCAAAACACTGTCCCCATATGTATAACTAAGCCAGGTAGTCACACACAGACACACACACACACACACACACAGACACACACAAACTTGGCAGAAAAACAGATGAAAAACATCTGGATCTGTTTTTCTACCTTCCTCTTTAATAAACGGCAAACGAAGCAGGAAAACAACAACAGCAGATTACTGGAACACTCTTCACCGGTCAGCAGCTCTGGCTCAGGACGCCACCGGTGATCTGTGACCGTCAGAGGCCGACTGTCAATGACAGGAATATTTTGGGAGATTTAAAACAAGGGCAACGGGCAGGGCAGACAAAGGTAGTAGAGCCCAGAGGCCTGGTTGAACAGGACACAGTAACAGGTCTGTTACTCTCGCCGCTGCCGCCGCAGCAGCGTCCACAGAACGCTGCATCTCTACAATGCGAGAAATTGTTTGACCATTTCCTAGACGTAAACACGAGCAAACTGACCGCAGCGGCCAGGAGAGGGCCTCGCACGGCAACCGTTAACGTATCAGAATACGTCAGCGCTAAAGTGAAAGAGCTGGTGTTAAAGTTCACACACTAACGTGCAGGTGAAGGGAACGTTTTTCAGATTTAGCTTCTAACATGTGACTTTTTACTAATTCACCTCCAGCTCTGATGTTTCCATCCTTTTAATATTGTTATTATTTATTATTTGACTTTATTACTTCATCGCCTCTGTGTATATAACCAACCAACAGTAGTAGCCAAACCCTGACCCCGTCCCTGAAGTGGACACCAGGTGCAGCTGGTCTGATTCAAACCATGACATCACTGCAGAGAGACAGGGTTGAAACCCATGAAGTCATGAGGACGATGGGTTTTAATTACGAGCAGTCCAATAAAACTGTTCCTCACAGAGAACTCTCTGGAACCCCGCTCACAAAGAGGGCAACGATCTGACCTCTGATTGGTCAAGAAGACGTGTGGTGCTAAGGTCACCGGGAAAACAGCCAGACGGAGACCTCAAAACAACGACCCTGTGTCGGGACGTGGTCTGGGTCCAGGTGGGGCGGGGCAGCTACCGTCTCCTCAGTTAGCCCTGGCCTTGGAGTGAGTGTGATGCAGATAGGTGACTAATGAGTTTATTGATTTCAATCTTTGTTCCACCGACCCTTGAGCAAACCTTGCCCTCGCCGGGTGATCAAAGCGTTACATCACCACTCTCCCTGACTGTTTGTTTTCACAGAGGTCCTCGTCCAGCTGGGTGGTGTGCTGACTTAAAGCAGACTTCCTATTCATGAAGCCTCCACACATGCCAGGAGCTGTGCGTGTGTGTGTGCGCGTGTGTTTTGCAGCATGATCTCACCTTGTGTGCCTGAAGCTTGTTAAGGCAGAGAATAGCACACAAACAAGCTGTTGCTAGCACAGGAGCCAAGCGAGCCCGGGACGCTGCACCGTAGCGTACGTTAGCGGCTCAGACGTTGCACAACCTCAGACCAAACGGAGGCCATGCTAACTCAAGCATGCTGTTGTTAATGAATAGATACTCTGAGCATAAACAACACAGTTTCCACTTTGATTGGTAGTAAATCTGTCCACATCTGTTTCTGATGAACCTTCAGAGAAAGTAAAGGGAAGATGTCAAGTTTTTCTTCTTCTCTTTCCAGATCATCAGTCATGTCTGTTAAGAACAGTTCCCGTAAACGGACGATCAATTATTCCTCTGGACTTTATCACGCACGCCATTTGGAGAAATAAATTACAGTAAGAAAAAAAAAAAAAATAAAAAATCAGTTTTGGTTTTAAATATCAACAGTGTTTACCTCTCTGATCACAGTGACAACAGGACATCCACGTGCTGTGACTGTAAAGTACGCTGAGCGCTCGACTGTTTATGTTACTCATAACCGTGACATCACAGAATCATCAAGTAGTTTTCATGTAAACATATCAGACCTCAGGGTTTAGGTCTGAAGTTTAGCTCTGGTTCTTTGGTTTTCTTTGATGAAGTCTTTGGTAACTTACAAAAAAATTGGTAAAATCATAATATCAATCATAATATTTTAAAGTTACAGTGAACACCAATAACAATAGGAAATTATATCCATGGTGGACCAATAAGGCCTCGCCCCTCATTTTTGATACCTGATTATGCATCTCTTTACACTCCCTGACCTGGAGGTAAAAATAAAACTTTTGACTTTGAACTTCCAGCTCATTTTAACCAAATACATAAATGTTGTATCTTTAGGAACAGAAGTCTAACTGTTAAATATTTGTTTCCTTTGTTTCTGCACCTACGTCAACTGGGAAAAAAATACAGTGTACATTTAAAAGAACGAGAATAAGATAAAGAGAGAAGGGGGGGAGAAAGGGAGGAACAAAGGGAGGAATTAGTGGAAAAAAGGACCCGTGAAGGAAAGGCCTTTTCTGGGGCCAGACCTGACGAAGGAGGAAAACGAAGAGGAGATGAAGTGTGGATAAAACAGGAGGGGAACGTCCGAAAAATGATTTAAAGTGAAGATGGGAATTCTCTCAGGAAAAGAAACACAGAAGATAAGTGAAAAGATAAGGGATGGGTGAAGAAAGAACGCCAGCAGAGAAGGAGAGCTGGACGCCAAGGGGAGGTCAGAGGAGGAAATTACATCACCTCATGTGAAAGTGATTTTCTGAGATGACAGAAATCTGACAGCTAAAATCAAAACCACACAGCATGACCAACTTTCCCGATCTTTTCATCTTTTACTACGATACTGGACTCCCTGCTCCTCCTCTCTACATGCTGCCTGCCCCCCCCCCCCCCCCCCCCCGTCTCCAGATTCAACAGAATATATCTGTCCACCGCTGCTTAATCCAGTTAAAGACCTCAGGCTGAACTGAAGAGAATCCCAGCAGTCAGCTGGAGCGCCGGACACACTAAACTGGAGAATTACTTTGCCAAATTTTACCCACAATCCCCTGTGGTGCCCAGTCTGACCAGGTGGAGACGTTTGTCTTAGCTGGCTGTCACACAAATCTGCTGCAGTCGGAGGAATAAAGATGCAAATCTGCAGGTTTGTGAGTGGAACCGACCTGAACCGCAGTAAATCAAACACGAGGGAGTTGTTTTTTTTTTTTTTAGGCCAAATCTGGACACAATCACACAGAACATATGTGTCAAACTCAAGGCCCGCGGGCCATAGAAAATGAGTTTGTGGGCCGCATCTTAAAAAGTGGTTCATTGAGTTTCTGAACCTGAGAAATTTTAAAGAATTAATAATAATCAATGGCAGAAACATTTATTTCTATGATCCATTATGGAGTAGTTAGTCCATTTACCACTGTCCCCTGATATCGATCGGCCGATGTCATCGATTATATGTCCCAAATACATACCTATATTTTTTCCT